ATCGAAAACTAATAATTGATTTTGCATATCTGGAGCTAGTTCGACAACTTGGTGTGGGGTGCTGTTTCCGTGCGACGCGCGACAGCTGAAACAGTAGACAGCCCGCGGAGGCAATCAGAAAGAGTACGGATACAATATTCCTGCTTCTTGCGACGGAGATACTAGTCATAGTCGCGAAGATTTGATGGTGCTGACCTGTGAATTCTCAATATTTGGAAGGCGTTAAACATTGTCACTTCTTAGACCTGTAATTGAGACTAAGATCTCTCTTGTACGGCGTGGCAGGATCCAGAGCCATGGACCGAATGGAAGTCAAAAACATCGGGGGCCACATAACAACATCCTCGATAGCTCTAATGCGTCACGGATTTACCGCGGCCAGGAAGCAAAAGCGCTTTTAGCACTGTGGTAGCTTAGGTGCAAGACATGGGATTATTGGGTCCATATTGATCGTTAACAATGTTACTGAGTACCTTGTGCTAAGCTTCAAAGGCAGAAGCAGCAGTGAGCTGCGGTCTCTAAATAAAATTACGATAAAATCTTACAGTGAAGTCAGCTGAGACAGTTATGAGCAAGCTATATCGTGGCCCCTTTCTATATCTCTGGTAGGACGCTTGATTACAGCTATAGACTCGTGTCACCTAGGACAAAGCAAAGGATGCACGAGATATTGAGTGTTGTGGACTCCCGCGTGTGGGCTGTTGGAGATTGGTGACTTTTAGGTGCATGTCAAAAAGCCAGGCTCTGGGTATCGAGGAATGGTCTTCGCTGCAACGTGACAATAACATAAGTCAGTCGCACTGAGTGTTGCGATTAGTCAGGGAATATATCTTTCCATTCAAAGTCGGATCTTTGTGTCAAAAAATCGCAAAAGTTAAATCGCTGTATCGGGAAAAGATACTAGAAGGGTGCAGCATGCTTCAATGCACCTAGTTTGGAACTCTTGACACAATTGATGGTCAGTAATAATTGGTTATGAGAGATAACGATATCCCTCCCATTACGTTGAGTACCGAGGCGGTATGCTCTGAAAGTGTCTGTGTATGCCACCAAAATTATCTATCGTGGCGGTGACGTTCAATCGACTGATGATGCAACCGTTTAGATCACTTTGCGCATATGAAAAATCATCTAGATGGTATAGTCGTCAGTAGCCGTGCAGAGCACGGGATATCGAATGTGCACTTGCACATTGTATCAGTGCTGGAGAATATGTGTTTCAGTAAGCTGTTCCCTATTCTAAATCTTGACGCCGACAAAATAACTGTCTATACAGCAAGTCTTGGAGTTGAAGGTATAGTGATTCAAACGAGCAAGCGCAGCTTCGATAAAGCGCCACATGATCTTTCAAAAGCATAGCCTGTTATAAGTATTCACACTTCATCACTTGTCAATAAACTTCATTCAGAAGCTAAAGCTGATCGGTTCTCTTTCACAAAACCTTCGCGCGAAATATATAATTCATGACGTCAGTGAGTTTCCATGGGCTGGGGCGCTGACGTGTGATGCGGATTTAGTTCTGGGAACCAAGTCAATCGCATGATGCACGCCCTGGATCGGGATGCAACACACACAGTAGGAATTTTTGCATCACATATAGAAGTTTCTTTGACGAATGTAGTAAAAATCCGTATAGCCCTAAAAAATGCTGTACGTCGACAAATTTGCAACGCAGGAGAAAGGATCTGCAAGGTCCTTGAGGAGAAGTGCTCCATTCTTTGTACGCAGGCCTCGATTGTACAAATGACAGAGTCATTTAGCACGAATGATGAGCTCAGTTCCTTTTTCGGTACCAACCGTACCCATTCGGTAAATTTACCGCTCCGCAATTCTTCACACACATCACCTAGGGTCATTTTTCAATTTTAGTGAGGGATTCTGCTGCAAGTAGTGAGTAATAGCTTTACCGATCTCTAGGACTATTTGGGTAATTTCAATTATCTTTTGCCACTATCGAGTAGAGCTTCAAAGCCGGGTAGGGTAGGAGCGTCGCCCGGTAATGCTAACTCAACAAAAGCTGCTCTTTTACCAAAAGTAAGTAATTCATTTTATCTTCAAAGCCCGCCCCTTGTATATGAACCTTTCAGTTGCTCTTCAGCTTTGCTGGCTCTGGTACGGGCGCAGTCACTTCTAGTCTCCCAGCTGTGGCGTAGAAGGCACCAGCATACAGCTATGATGATTTGCCGCACCAGAGAGCCCCTCTTGGGGCTATCTCAGCAGATGTAGACCGCGATAAACGATCTATTGTCTTTGTCTCATCCCGAAACGCGGCTTACTGGGAATGCCATGAACCATAAATTGAAAGTCGAATATGAAGATGCCGCGCACCTTTCTCCAGATTGAAAGTTGAATATGATAATTTCGCGCACTTCTCTCCCGATTTATCTCTGAGCCTGCCTCTGCCATCACGCAGAAGCGCTTTTGGTACGGGCAGAAGGTACGATAGAATTTGTGCAGGTCATAGAATCCAAACTGACCAGCGATGATATTGTTAAATACAGGGAGCAGATATTGATGATAAAAACAAAGCCACGCCACATTTGAATGAGATGATTTCTCTATTTAAAGAAGTGACAACGTTCCACGCCGTCAATATCTTCAGAGCTTATTTGAAGATGCCACAGAACTTTAACGTGTCTCCGTTGCGAGATCGTATCCAATTTGGCATCTTAGATGCCTCTGCAGGCTGTCTACGGTTTTAAAATTGCGCATGTTGAAAATCTTCACGACGCTCCTACATTTATTCGAATATCACACGGCTTTTGAAAGCTGAAGACGTCGGTTTCAATCCTGGGCTATAAACTTCACCACTTGCAGATATAATTACTACTTTCTGGGGAGTTTTCAGTGACCATGATATCTATGAGGTAAAATCTGGCGATACTCTTCGATAAATTCATCGGACAACCATGCAAGGAGCTCTACCCTTCGTACTGTAGCGTTGTAATCTCTCAGTCAAGATAGAATGGGACACGCAAAGGTTTGATACTACCACAGAGAAAAAAGCTGGTAGTACCACGTTGCTGCTTGGCAACTAAGGTATTTCTTTTTTACTCGTCTGCTAATAAAGCCTCTATTTCATATAATCCAATCCGATCCTCACGGCCTTGGAGATGTACATCATTTTTTTGCGATATTCAATGCTTATAAATTGATGAGAGATAGATGTAGAAGGTCTCGGCGTTAGGCACACCCAGTCAGCGACCCTCCACAAAAATTGTAACTGTTCCGCTTCCAGGAGAGGTCTACCTCCATTTCAACGATATTAACCGATAATTTATGGACGAACTCAACTAATTTCTGCCTGCCTCGACGGGTGGGCCAGAACTTGGAGCGCATTCAATACGCCTGCTTAGTTGGCACAGTTTCTTTGCAGATACGGACTTGGATTTCTCCACGGTAGAAAAGCCTCATTCACACTTACTGCACATTATCGCCGCGGCTTCTTAGCTTGTAGACCGCACTGTTGCATCGTTTGTATCATGGCCAACTTCATATCAACTTTTCTCACCCAGCGAAATCATCCTGTCTCAGTTTAAAAAATGCTGAGCTGTCAGCAGCAGCGGCTTCACGGTTGATATCATCTGTTACCACTAGTGATCAGTTAGGACGCCCTGAAGGCGTCTCATTCTCTCACCAGCGCATTTTCGTAGCTGGTGAACGCCTCCAGGCGAACGATCAAGGCGTATGGATGGATTGTTGGCCGGCGGTCCCCCGGTCCTGTAGGGACCAAAATAGACATACTTTTACCAAGTGTCTCTAGAAGTTCCGCTCAAATATCTCATGTTCCATCTCCACAAAGGGGATAGTGTTTTCATGACTCGGACGTGAGATTGTCTACAAAAGCTACCAAGTGTATTGAGATTGCCGTCTACTTTGCTGATAAGCTTGAAATTGAAGTGCCCTAGATACCAGACGCTCAGAGATTGGATCTTACGATCCGCCACGGAGCCGAACCGTGAGAGCCTCTTAACTAAACTAACTGTTCCGGTTGCTCTACTGTTTCAACAGTGACAACTATATTCCATCTAAACTTATACTCATTATCAAGGTTTTAGTACATACAACTACAAAACTATCATTATTGCTTATAGCACAGACTCTCTCTTATACGGAGTTTCCGAACAATTACAAAGGATTGTAATGTGAAATGTGTCCAACTATACGACAGTAAATTTATACGACTGCACGGACATGTAAGGTGTACGAATACTAGCATACAGTACGTACAACAAGGTATTCCCCTTTTATTGCAACGTGACATGGTGGGCACATCATAATTATATCGAAATTAATTTAATGGGTTGGATACAAAAGCGTCACAATTCTGTAAAATGGTGTCCGATGACGAGGAGAACGATGAGTTCGCGTACTCTGAAGGCGAATTGGACGATGATGACGTAGATTGGGAAGATGTTAATACGCAACAGCAGGATGCTGAACCTTTGACATCTGATCCGTATGCTTCCCGCGCTACTTCCGTGGCTCAAGAGTCTGCTGTAAATATCGACACTATTCTGATCCACAAGAATGAGAAAGTGTCTTCAGATTTACAGCATGTTGACTGGGAGCAAGTAAATCGCTCATTAGCAGAGCAAGATGCAGCATCTGTGACTCGTAAAAGACGTCGTCCACCCATTCGTCTGACGAAGTACGAAAAACAGCGAGAGAGGGCTTTGCATCAAACACATTTGTTACTATTGCTTGCGATGCGCATAAAGTGGATGCACGTCACGCGGTCGCAGTTACTGCAAGGGTTAATGCTATCGCTTACTACAACTAGCAACGTCGATTTCTTCGTCGATATAAAGCAGCAGCCGCTTTCTTACTCGCTTGAGCTGATACTTCGGTGGTTCAATCGCGAGTTTCAAGTGATTGATAAAATGATTGATCTTGAAGAAGACAATTTTATGACCGAGTCGAGTCTGATAAATGTCTTTTACTTACGAAAAGGTTGCGACTACGAGTTGACTCTGCTCTTCGCTGCCTTGTGTGGAGCGCTACAGCTGCGCTATCGTCTCACGTGTGCGTTAGACCCGCTGCTTGTACAAAGAGGGAAAGCGTTTGAGGCAACGTTTAAGAAAAGACAGAATAAGGGAAGGCGAGTACGAACATTCGCTGAGTCAGAAAAGGAAAAAGTAGAAGAAAAGCAGGAAATTAAAAAAGATATGGATCCAGAAAACTTGGATTTGGCGCATCGGGTGTATTGGTTATGGTGTGAGGTATTGGATGAAAAGGCCGAGAAATGGATTCACGTAGATGTAATTCGTCGATTAGTCGATCGACCACAAGAGATCGAAGCACTGCGTGGCAAAGCGGCTCGTTTTTCGTACGTCGTAGGAATTCAAGACAATAATTTGCTTGTGGATGTCACAGCACGGTACACTGTTCAATGGAGCAAGAGCTTTGAGTTGCGACTTGCTGACTCCTGGATCAAACAAGTGATTGAACAATATAATGAAGATACAGGATTACTGCAGCAATCAATATCGTCGAATGAACATGATGAAAAAGTGGCTCTTGATAAGGAAAAGAAAGAACTAGAGACATTTAAGTTAGCAGAAGGTATGCCAACCAGTCTAGAAGGGTTTCGAAAGCATCATTTGTACGTTCTGGAGCGTCATCTTGGTCAGCTAGAGTATCTTCATCCACGAAAAATTGTAGGTCTTTTCAATGGCCAGCCAGTCTTTCTTCGGGAACATGTACAGCGACTTCAATCGGCGTTTAAGTGGCGTCGTTGTGGTCGTGTAGTGAAGGAAAGTGAGCGTCAAAACCCGGCAAAGTGGCAGTCAAGAAATAACGATTTTGGCTGTGGTGGAAACGATAGTAACGACGATAATGAAGGAGAAAAAGATAAAAGCTCATCTTTAGCACTCTTTGGAATATGGCAGACGACAGAGATCGAATCTCCTCAACTTGTGAATGGCCTCGTGCCAAAGAATCAATACGGTAACATTGAGATCTGGAGTCCAGCTCATATTCCGCGTAATGCAGTGCATCTTCGCCTCCCTCGTATCGAAACTATTGCTGAATCCTTGGGCATTGACTTTGCACCTGCAGTCGTAGGTTTTGAAGTTCGCAATGGCCGCCCAATGCCAAAAGTCTCGGGTATTGTCGTGGCACAGAGTCACGAAAGTATGCTACTTGATGCCCATGCAGAGAGGCAACAACAGACGATAGAAAAAGCTATTGCACACAACCAAAAGCTTGCGATTAAACGCTGGGAAAATCTCACAAAACGATTGCTGTTGCGTCAACGGCTCGAAGACGATTACGGTTCCATTCCATGTACAGATTGTCGCTAAATATTACAATAAATACTTGAAATTATTGCACAATGTTATGATTATCAACCTTTAGAATTTTATTTTACAGAAAACGTTTAACCGCATAGTAAATATGAGTGTTCTCTTGCTTCTGTTACTCATGTTGGTAAATAATGTGCGCGCTATCGTGACGCCAGATGCAGTGATTGATTCTACACCAGCCTCAAGTGATGAAAGTATTGTTTATTCAGAGGAGTCAACGGTCTCAGATGTGGAATTGAAGCAAAATGATTTGGTAACGGGCGATAATGTCGACAATGATGCCTTTTCAAATGTGGAACATATTAAAGAGTCGGAGGATCCTATTACAGACGCAGAGTTAGTAGACGACGATGTGGATCCACTGCTAGACGTACCTAGTGGTTTGTTTGAAGTTGTTGATGTTGATAGCGTAGACAATCGCAAGCGTCAAAATTACGCTTCACTGGACGCTGGTGCCACAGTTTTGGATGCTGCACCGGATACAAAAAGCCCTACAAATCTTTTAGTGCCGGATAAAGATCGCTACATGCTCATACCGTGTTCAAAAGCTCGAAAATGGGTCGTTATTAGCCTCTCCGAGGACGTAAGTACGTCAATGGTTCAAGGTGGAGAAAATCATACATCACTGACATACTCTTTTGCCTCTTTAATACATGCTGCAGGTTCATGCAGATGCTATTGCAATTGCTAATTACGAAAAATTTTCATCTCCCGTGAAGGAGTTTATTGTACTGGGTAGCGTCAATTATCCTACCGACACATGGCTCGTGTTGGGCAATTTTACAGCTTCAGACACAAACGGTGAGCAGATTTTTCAACTGGACGCACAACAACACGTGCGGTATATCAAGTTTCGCTTCTTATCACATTATGGATCTGAATATTACTGCACGCTAAGTCAACTGCGGTTTGTATATAGTTTATCCTTCAATTGTTTCGATTGTCTAGTATTAAGACAGTTGCGTTTCCATGTTTAGAGTTTTTGGGCGGACATTTACGCAAGTCATCTCTCAGTTGGAAAAGAGCATTGATGCAGAAGTGGAAGCTTTAGATGCGCAGACTGCTGCTTCGACGCCACAACTACCGACTGTGTCCGAAAATACAGATAATGTGATGCATCGCATTTCGGAACCGGCAGACCTTTTAAACCAATGTTTGATGGAGAAGAACAACATTGTCGTCGCGATCTTTTACAACGCGACTCAACGAATTAAGCACTATCACAACAATGGAATGTGCTGTCTAGTCGACTATTCGCCGAAGCAGATTGAAGCCGAAATTACTGCTACTTCAAGCAATACTGACCAATTGGTTACAGCAAACATTGAGGCTATTGCTGCAGAAGTTGGTGAAAGCTCCGCGAATCAACCAAGCTCGTCGCTCAGTGGTATTACTACAAATACGACGAGTAGTCCTGCTGTCAACGGCCCAAGTGCCGATATGACAGCATCAAGCAGTAGTGCATTCCCAGCATCTTCTGTGGTACCAACATCCATTAATTTGATCGGATCGTCAGCCCAAGGTCTTGGTCGACTGGAAAGCATCTTTGTGCGAATTACAAAAAAGAGTAAGCATGACTTTGTGTCGCTGCGCTGCTTGAAGCTCGTACATTGCTCATATTCCTTTATAATTGCTATAGTTCAAGCTCTCGAAGGAAATCAGACTGTGATGGCAAGACAAATCGAAGAATATCATACCCAACATTGGGCAGCAATCAAGCAGTTGCAGGTAACAAAAGTTGATCGTACAATTTTTAAATTATGCGACTTCTAATGACAAAATAAATTTGATGACGTTTATTCTCAAAGTTTAATCAAGAAGCATTTAGAGGACAGTTTCAAGAACTTAACATCATGATTACAGATCTGGTAAATTCTTTTTGTCCCAGGTATCGAATTGTGTCGTGATTGTAATTGTCATGTACAGAAAGAATATGTGGCAAAAGAACTTTTGACGAGCGAGCAGGCTTTATCGAGTTTTAAGCGGCTTCTTGATGATAATAAGCGGGACAATGTTGCACTTTGGGTAAGAATGTTGAAAAATTTATGTCAATTTTCTTGAATAGTCACAATATTGGTGAATAGAACGAGATGCTTATTGTTCGTGAGGTTATCATGACGATGAAAGCTGGCATTTTGTGCGCAATCGTCCTATCGACATTAATAATTTTCTTCTATCTTTTTCGACTGCTGCTTCGCTGTGTATTAAAGTGCAAGGAACGTGCCGATCTTCGGGAATGGTTTTGGCGAATGGAAAACCACGAAAGCAGTCCGATTAGTCGAGGCAAAAATGCGTTGGCCAATGCAATGACTGCAGGATCTCTGCATGTGAATCGGAACGCTCAGTTCGGTTCATCATGGGATGATTCAGCCATAGAGCGAAAAACTTTAGTTAGTGACATGGTAGGTGAGGGTCCGCATAAATTTCGTCGACATCGAGCAAAACGAGCAAGTCGTTCGAAAAATTAAATTTTAAAATTTAACATCGAAATCTTTTGCTGCTCAAGTCAAAGAATAATATATTTAGAATTTGATATGATATAACCAGTCACAAATATACGTAATAAACGCTACGCTTTGTATCATTTTTACATATCATTCCCAAAGTAAGTAGTAGGTGGACGAGAGGCTCATTGCAACGGTGTCGTGCATCTTACACAGAGCAAGCTTTGACTCTACGGTTCCGCTTTTTAGACGCACAGAGACACGAGCGGTAACGAGAGCCTCTCATGTATATGAGGTTTCTTGTTTTTTTTTAAGTGAGCGTTATTCATTCCAAGTAACGTCTGCAGCGCAAATTATAGCAATTATTCATGATACGTGGTGCTTCTGAGCCTTGCTTCGAGTCTTATAGACAACAATTGCAATAGTGTGTGGTGTACGTGCACCACAATACGACTTGAACTCCATAACGCTTTCTTTTGACCAAGATGTGAACAACACGTGGATCTTACTCATTTATTTTTTGGAGATATCGCGAAAAAGTGAACGCTTTCTATTCAGGGATTTCTTTCGCTCCAACATCACCTGATAGTGTCTACTCTTATAAACATTGCACGCATCGGCGATTCTCCCCCTGACGTGCTCACATAGCTTCAAAGTGGCAGAGAAAGGTGCGCTCCAAGACCGATGATTGACGGACTATGTGGGTCGTGGCATAATCCTTCCACTCTCGTATGACATACGACAAAGCTGTTTTGCGTCTGCGAAAGCCACTTCAAGGTCGACACTTCACCTTACCTCTGCGTGAGATGTGCAGCCCGCGCAGCAAATTATCCCATTGCAGAGCTCACGAATACGTCTGGATCGTTACACGCTAGCTGGACCTGTATTAGCACGCAAGGCTCGCCTGTCTGCGAGCGCAAGGGTCGCTACGACTTTTGCAGACTCATCCAAGTCCGGATTATGAGCTAGATTGTCTAAATTTTGCCCACCGAACGGCGAAGGAGCGCTTCACGCTTATACTCGCGGGCCTTCGGCTCAGAGTTTCAGATCGATAGTCACTCTGAGCGCGTCCCCCCATCGGGTAATATTTTCTCAGGAGTGCTACCTGCGCATAATGAAGTAGTGTTAGGGTCAATCTGTATCCTCCCTGACGACCGTATTCTCGGTACCGAACGCTAGCGAAAGAATATTAGCTGACATGATTCGCGCATTGAAGGAAGAAAGAAAGTCTAAAACGTAAGCTGCAAAGACACCACGGATGTTTTGCCCAAGTGAGATCTCAAAATTCTATGAGCTTTGGGAGCTTGATTCTCCATTCACTTGAGCAGATACCGATGACATCCTGGTGATCCCGCCGGCTCACTATCTGCTCCATATGGAAGTAAATTGCCTCTTGATCATCGATAGGAAACTGCGCCACACAACTCCTTACTTCCTGACTCTCGCCGTCTCTCTGGATTGTAGTGGTACTTCAAGGCTTCCGAGAGTCTTGTCGTACCCCATATTGCATGGTTGCACAGTCGCTTGAGGCGCCTTATATAGCTCGAGATCAGAACACAGTTATTGAGAATTGACCCAACTACAGGGGATGGTTGAGCTGTTGCTTCGTTTTTTAATAGGACGCTTTGTGTCTGAATGGCTCGTAAGACGAGTTGTAGTACAGCTTTGATTGAACACAGGTTGTGCTCGCATTTTAATCGTTATATTGAGAGTGAAGCTCGAACGCTTCTAGCTACAGCCTGAAAAGGTCCGAAGAAGAGGGGTTGCGGCTTAGTCTTACAGACTAAACTTTTCACTCGCAAAAATAAAATGTGTACTCCGTCGTCCGCTGGCATTCGAATGTTAGATTTGCTATTTTAAGCCCTTAACCATAGCGTCGGACGCTCAGAGCATGACACTCAGTCTCGCCGAGATTGAACTCTCAATGTTAATAGCAAGAAGAGCTAAAATAATATCACCAAGTCCAATTGCATCAGACTAGAGTGACTTCGTGACGAGCACGGGAGCTTGCCAAACCATTAGTCGAATTTTGGACAAAGCATATAGAGCCATGTACTGCATTAAGCAAAGAAAACTCAGCAAGTCGGAGCATTTTGCTCCGGCATCGCGATTGTGCTTCGAAGGGCATCCTCCACCACAACATTCACGCATTTGGTGTAATCATTTGTCTGCGTGGTCAGTGCTGAAGATTTTGAGGGAACGACCTCGGTCACTAAATGTGCAGCGGGGCTGTTGTAGCTCTTTCGCTTAGAGGAAGCTTGGTTAAGGTCGGCGACCTTCGTTCTATACTTGAACCAGTACGAGTATTGCGGATCACACTTCACTTACTCCAAGTTACTACAACCTTGACCCAAGGCTACTAAACTCTTCCATTTGTGTGATCTACACCCTTCATACCAGGGCACGTGAAGCCCCGTTACACTCTCCCCCATCAAGATTAACACCTACAGTTTAGATCTAACTGTCGTCTTAAACAAGGCTCGCGTGTCTAAGACACCTCAACATCACCAGAACCTATGTCACGAGTTCTGCAGCGGGGCTGCCGTAGCATTGCGCTTAGAGGAAGCGTAAGTTAGGTCACCGACCTTTCGTTCTGTACTTAGAACAAGTGCGAGTTTAGCGGATCGCAATCCGCTTACTCTAAGAATAATTATTGCCTTATCCCAAGGCTAATAAACTCTTCTGTTTAATTTCAAAACTGACTTTATTTATTTTTATCTGCGGGCTAGCCGCCTAATCTTTAAATGCATAGATTTTCCTAAATATGTATAGTAAAATCTAAATACATGTATAACTACTGGCTATTCAGCCCCGTACCGTTTTCTTGTTTGAGTGTGGTCACACCATGCCCATCTGGTGTGACAAACACCTCTGTTACCAGGGTTTGTGTAACCCCGATACACTCTCTACCATTAAGATTGAGAACATTTACAGTGCCAATCGGTTATTGTCTAAACGAGACTTGCGTATCCGCTAGACACTGCAACTTGGTTCGTTGAAACAAATTAACTTCCGTGTCAATGAGCCCTGTGTCAACGACACTGAAGTCGCCAAGTCTCGCTGGTTCTGACAGCGCACACGGGCAGAGCCCAACTTCGTCTCCCGCATGCGGTGCATTGTCGGACAGTGCGTCTGCGGCATCGAGTGATGTATACGCTAGACCCGATGAGCCCGAGCGTCGCGCTCCACGCACGCAATCCGTGACGAGAGACCTCGTTGAGGATGTGAAGGTGGTCGACTACGAGTCTGACACTCCTTTTCCCGGGTGGGATGACGAGGGAGGCGAGACGCGCCAGCGGCGTGTAACGAGCCCTGTTCGCGCCTTGCGGACCCCATGTCCGTTTCCTGACCTCTCATCACCTGAGGAATGTGGTGTCATCACCAATAAA